CCGCGGAACTCTATCCGTGAGAGGAGAGAAGGAAATGGCGCGCACGCGGCGGCCGCGGCGGCGGTCAGTACGAGACGCGCGTTGTTTCGGGAGCTCATAATGATGGTCGGGAGTCTGTAACGTCGAGGGCGTTATCTAGACCGGCCATCGGAGAAGAGGGAAGTGCCGGAGGCTCGCGGCTGTGGGTGCGACGGATACACACACACATACTCGTATCGTTAATGATGCCGGACAAGCGACAGGTAAAAACTCACTATTAGAAGAGTGCTCTGTGTGTGAGTGTGTGTGTGTGTGTGATGTTTATTTCTGGAACGGTTTTACTCCGCGATGTCATTTTATTGCTCTAGCCGGTCGATCAGTAGGCGAAACCGACCACAAAGTATCCAAACTATAAAAGTGCAAATCGTGCAAAAAACGAAAAAAAAAAACAAACTAGAGGGGGGTGAAAAATTAAATTGAAAGGCAAAATAAATAATTATGAGTCATGTCTTAAAGTACCCGCGACAAACCCGTTATCGTGTCCATAAACAGCTCCCCCCCCCCCCCCCGCTAAGCAATGTCACATTTGCAAACTATTTTTCGCAGTTGGTATACACATGCATCGCGCTGCAGTTTCTCTCTCATTCTCACCTTTGCCGCGTCGCCGGCTTGGTTTATGTGCTTTACGGGTCACCGCCTCATAATTCCTTTCATATTGAGTTTCATTTATGGGCTACCGACGGCCGGGGCTTTCTGCCAAGATCGCAAATGTCATTTATGGTGTCGTTTCGCGACACTCATCCGCAACAAAGTCGAGATTTATTGCGCGGGTGATTTAGTGACGGTTGTGTGTGCAAATGTGTGCAAATGTGTGTGTGTGTGTGTGAATGTAAGTCCGATGCGTGGTGTATGGAGCTGCCCTTTTGGTCGCTCAAATCGATTTCGACAACGAGAGAGATTTAAGCTATTGCAGCAACAAGCGCACATTCTCACATTCGATGCAGCGGTAATCTAATCTCGTACACAAGGTGGTGATAAGAAACGTCGTAAAAATATTGTCGCGCTACTCAAATGATAATAAGCTTTGGGCTTTTTTACTACCGCGAGAGATGCAAGGCGCTGCAGCAGCAGCATCCAGCCTCTCTTATCATTACTGCAGGGGACAGCGGTAGCAGCGCTCAGCTGTCAGGACCGAAATCGAGTGACCGTCAAACGTCGTGCATTTCGTTAAAAATGTAAATTTAGAAAAAAATTGAACAAGAACAAAGAAAAACAAATCACAATACAAATTGATAAAAATTATAGGCTGTTTAGAAAGGTATACTGATTAGTGTATAAGTCAGTGCACTAAAACTGGGAAGTTCACTTGGCCTATCCGTGAGAAATATTTAGTATATAAGTAGTATATAAGTAGAGGTCTTAGGGCGGTCTCGGAGGGCTTAAAAAAGTCACTAAAAGAGACATACTTTCTATATCACTACCAAACCAATACAAAACTTGCTGACTTCAAGAATTCGAATCTAGAATTTACTACACCTAAACTGTCCACAGAAATCGTTTTAGCTGAGGTCTGACTTAAGATTTTAGGCTGCTCTGCACGATAAAAACAATGTTTGATTTTTTTGAGGTGAGAGAGAAAAACTTCTAGAACTCCCATTTTATAAAATTGTTGAGGAAAGTCTTTTCAAAAACCGAGGGAAATTCCCAATTTTTTTGATGAGTGGACTCTTTTTGTAGGAACTGAGTTAGGATCGCGAAACGCGAAAAGACTACAATAGATCACTCTTACATCTTACAACAGCAGAAAGTTACACACACCTTACCTCGGTCAACGAGAAGCAATCCACAGGTACGGCGTGAGGAGGCACTCGATGGGGTCCCACGGACGCTGCAGCAGGTGGGAAGCAGAAAGGGACGCCGATGCGTGTGTGCGAGGGTGAGTATGTGTGTGTGTGTGCGAGGGTGAGTGTGAGTGTTGCGCCAGGACAGGACCCAAGGACTCACACGTGCTGGTGGGGCGGGACGGCGGCTCCCACTGAGCGCTCGGACATGGACACCACGCCATAGGCGTACCATGTGATTCCCCGCCCCACCGCCACACCCCGCCCCGCCGCACCCCGCCCCGCCCGGCAGCGCTTGCCCCCTGGTGTGTGTATGGCCCAGGACCAGTGGCGTAGCGCCGTGGCGCACTCGGTCGCGAGAGGGAGAGAGAGGGGGAGAGAGAGAGATATAGGAGAGAGAGAGATAAAGAGAGATAGAGAGAGACAGAGATAGGCGGGGGAGGGGATGAGAATGCGAAGCTAAGAAAGCGTGTCTTAGTGTTAAAAAGCGAGGTTGCTACAACCCTTCCTCCTATTTCTCCCCCTCTTTCTTTCTTTCTTTCTTTCTCTCTCTCTCTCTCTCTCTCTCTCTCTCTCTCTCTCTCTCTCTCTCTCTCTCTGCTGCCCCCGCCGAAGTCGCGTTGTCCATCGTTACAAATTGTTCCATTATTCCAAACTGGATCGGGCAGCGGTGTTCGTTTTCGCCCCCTCAGAGGGAGGGGTCGGCCCCGCGTCCGAAAAGTACGTAGACAGTATGCTTAGGTCTCTCTCTCTCGCGCCCACATGGTAGAGCAACAGCGTGTGTGTGTGAGAGAGAGAGACGACGATTGTTACTAGTTTCCGGGCGCAGCCAGGCAGCTGACCCGTGCGTTCGCCGCACGGCGCGCGCAGGGCGCCCCCATTTGAATGCGAATGACGGTCACTGGAGGTGGTGTGCGCCGGGGCATTGCCGTATTGTGGGAGAGAGCGGGGAGAGCGGAACGAGGGAGAGAGAGAGAGAGAGAGAGAGAGAGAGAGAGAGAGAGAGAGAGAGAGCGTACTGTACGTGGGTATTGCTTGCCGGCACTTCTTCCTCATTTAGGTGGACTTTGTCGTCGCGACCGCGGCAGCTATTTCTCCTCGTACACAAACACAACACAATGACAAAGGTCCAAATCATGTAAAATAGCAGCTACTCTCCCGATCCTGATAACCTGCGTCTGCTGTCGAACTGCTACCACGTACTATTTAAGGGGGCAAGCGACAAGGAAGTCCTGGGCGATTTGGCAAAAATAACGTTTGGTTTTACTGAGATT